TCGGTAGCGGTGAGGAAATAATGGTTGTTTGAATATACAATGAATTTTCAGGGAATATAGTTACATGTATACGTGTATTTTGTTTTGTTTGGAACTTTTGTCAAAAATTGCTCACCATTCAGGAAAATCACATAACCAACAGCATTTACTTTGGTTTCGGTTCTCCTTTACCTTGCTGTACAGCACTGCACTATGTATGGGTAGTATTTAGTTTCCCAGGGCTGCTGTAACATACTGTCACAAACTTGATGGCTTAAAACAACAGAAATTAACTCGATCTCAGTTCTGGAGGCGCAGTTTCAGTGGTTCAAAATCAAGGTGTCAACAGGGCCACGCTCCCTCAGGGGCTCTAGTGAGAACCCATTCCTTGCCTTTTCCAGCTTCTGGTGACTGCAGCCTGCCTTGATTTCCTTGATTTGTGGCCATACCTCTGCCTCTGTGGTCACAATGCCTTCTTTTCTGCTGCCTATAATCTCCCACCAGGATCATCTCCCCATCTCAATATTCTTAACTTAATCACACCTGCAAAGTCCTTTTTTGCCATAAGTTAACATTCACAGGTTCCAGGGATTAGGATATAGGTAGTTTTTCAGGGGCCACTATGCAGTGCACCACTGGTAGGTTACAGTACCTCTAGGAATTTCATTTCCGATAGTAAAGGGAGCATCTAGAGTTCTTTTATATATATAAAAGAGGGGTGTTGTAATGGATGGTATGGAGAATTACTTCTCTAGAGGGTTTAAGTAAAAAAACAAAATGCAGAGCGCAAGGGACCATTTTTTTCCTTGTTTATTTCTTCACCATTGCTAACAATTAAAATCCTTGTAAAAGGACTGTAACCTTAGTTCAGGAAAAGGAAACTAGGGGACTATGTTCTCTTTCTCAATGAGCTCCAGGAAGGAGCAAAATTCTCACTGGAACTGACAAGTGGTGAGTCCCAGTATCTACCTTGACTCTTTCAAACACATCGGTGCCTTTTCACTGCCTCAACAACTCCAAATTCTTTAGGGTCTGACACTTCCTGTTTCTTCAGTTTCATTTTCTTCTGTGTACTTACCTTAAGTAAAATATGCAGTATATGCCTTTGCATCTTTGTATATGCTGGAATAGTCTCTCTTGCCTTGTCTGTTAGTCAAATTCCTTGTTAGCTCAGTCGTCCAGTAATTTTTACTGACCCTCACTCCCCAACCCAGACAAGGCAAATCACTCCCTCCTCTGAGTTATCACTGCACCTTGCACATACTTAAATTGTTACACTTATCACACTACATTACAAATTAATTGCTCATGCATTTGTCTCCCCTATTAGGCTATAAGGTTTTTTCAGGGAAGTGAGTCTTATTTATCTCTGTAGATAAAAGAGTATTGAATAAATAAATGAACCTCTATTCTGGGCTTCAGTTCTAGGACCTGTCCCATCTAGATATACTTCAAAGTCCACATATCCAAAACTGAACTAATTTTTATTTTGAACCAACACCTCCTGCTGAGTTCTTGTCTCCATTAATGATACTATAAATAACCCAGTAACCCATGCCAATAATCTGGGAGATACCCTTAGACATCTTCTCCATTACTTTCCACATTCAGCAAGACATCAGCTTCTCTCAATTCTAATTCCCACATTCCTTAGCCTGTTTATTTCTTTTACTTTCTTTGATAATACCTTGTTTCCATCTCCCACTATTTGATTCTTAGTCCTTTGTAACAGCCAGGCCTGATGCTAACCTCCTCAGATACTATTAGCGCAAATTAGAGCGATAGAGATAAATGAGAAAGGTATTCCCTTCAGGAAAAAGAAAAAAAGAAAAGGGTTTCCATCCTGAACACAATCCTGAGGGCAAGGCTGAACTGGAGGGCTAACTGTGCCTATGTAAAAAGAACTACTCCCATCTGGAGGTGGCTATTAGATCTGCTGTTCAGTTGTTGTCCTGGAAATTCCCTTTACGTCTCTCCTGTGCTAGATTCCCTTTTCTTTGTTACTCCCTAACTTTGGTAAATGGCATCTTTCATTGCTCATCAAGTAAGGGTTCATGGGAGATAATTTTTGAGCCCTTGCATGTATGAACGTGTCACTATTCTACCTTCACATTTAAATGATAATTTGGCTGGGTATAGAATTCTATAGTGAAATATTTTTCCCCAAGATTTTTGAAGGTCATTGTCAGTATGAGGGACATGGAAGAGAAAAGAGTGGCTACTTGAAAGGACTATAGTATCCTCAGAAAAGACTTGTGTCATCTTAGAGTAAGAAAATGAAGGAAATACGGAAGAGTTGAGGACACAGGAGTTTTGCTGCTGATTGACCGTGAGTTCTGGAGAGCAAAGTGCAGGGGCTTCAGGAGTCTGGGAGGAGCAGAGATGAGCCAAGAATATGGATGACAGAGCCATACAGGGTGAGTCTGGGAAATGAAGGATAGCCTAGCATTCCTGGAGTGCTGATTATAAACTGAGATCACGGGTAAATGTAATTAATCCAAATGATGTCAAGCCAAATAATGGTAACAATTACATGAGCAGTAGGGGTAAGGACTAGAGAGCAGGGGTTTGATGAGGCGCATGCAGAGCTCTGAAGCTCTCACTCCCTCCTGGTGAGGGGATGTGGAGGCTGGAGGAGGGGAACTATGAGTTTATTCCCAGAGCACTGAATTTTCCCAAAGAATCGCAATAAGCCAACTGTTTCTCACACAGCAGTGTAAAAAGTCCTTAAGGGTTTCACTCCCATGAGAGCCCATAATAATAAAAGTTAGTATTTACCAAGGACCTGCCATCTTACAGACATCATTTTATTTCATTCTCACAACAATCCCAAGAGAAAGATATTATCATTACCATTTTATAGATGACAAACTAAGGCTAGAGAGATTAAAGTACCATATATGCTACCTCAGCTCCCAAGAAAAGTCCTTGATAGACCCCAAACATTATATATAATCTAAAATAGTGAATTCCATATGAAGGCGTCCTTTACTTTCATAAAGATAAAAATTTCTCTTCACCTTTTACCTCCAGGCAAGTAAATAAAGAAGGTATTTTGTAAAGATTTATCATAATGCTTTTTCTGAGCAATGGATTCTATCTAAGCACAATACTCCTTTATGGTAGTTCAGTAAACTGGGGAGAAAGTTTAGCTACATGTTATTCTATAGTATATAGGTATTTTTTTTAAAAGCCTACCTCCACAGAGAATTTTACAATGACTGGAGGAACTCAAGCAACAGAAGACAGGTGCCTCGGTGTGTATGAAGAGTCATGAAGAAGTTAGTTCACAGACCAAGATAACCACAAAAAGTCAAAGAAAAAGAAAGGAAAACAGAGGCTTTCACTTTACATGCCCCAAAGTTACAGAAAACAAGAACAGTTTTCAGAACTTAAAGTTAAATACAGACGAGCTGAAGGAGAACAACATATTTAGCCTTACTCGGAAATCTTTACAAGCTGAATATTACTCCCAAGTAATTGAAATTAATAAAACAAAAAATTTTAGCTAGTGAAAACACAATTGTGACATAGTTGATTAAGGTATTAATTTTTTATAAGTATCCATAATAAAATATCTTATTAAGGTGGTAGGTAACTATCACAATTTAGTGAAAATACTTTTTTCAGAAAAATAATCAAAATTTCAAAATATATCACAAAAACCTAGTCAAGTTGCAGGAGGATTTACAAATAAACTTCTTTTAATGCTATTATTCCTGACTTTGGGATGCTGATATGAACAACTTGTTACTTTGAGATTAACATCTGCATTGTTTCCTAGCCTTTTCACCTGTCTGCACTTTTTGTGCCACCCCCATGAAAGTAGGTTAGATGGCCAGAGCCACTGGCACAGTTACAGCAATGAACTATGGATCCTAAACCAGTTTTGCATAAGAATCACCTGAAGAACTTTTAAAAAATATATTTCTGAATCCCAACTCAGATTCTTGGAATTAGAATGCCTGAGGCATAGGAATGTCTGTTTATTAAAAGATCTGCAGGTGTGTCTGAGGCATAGACAGGTTTTGGGAAAATAGACCAGAGCTGTGAATTTAGAACTGCGTTCTGAAGAGTCATAAAATTGTCATGAAACACCACTGGGCATCTCTCACCTGTTTCAGCAAGAATAATTCTATTTTTATTTATATCAAGTATCTCTTACACTTCTTAAAAATTTTAAACTGCAAGACTGGCTGGAACAAAGTGAACTCACCCACATAGATACTAAACTCATGATGTTAGCATAATAACTGACCGAATTCAAAGACAAAGAGACTAGACAGGAAAAGGCCAGAATTGAGGAACATAGAATATCTGTTAATGCCAAAAGGAAAGCCTTGTAAAAGCAGTTCTGTAATTCATATACTGTACTTTTTTTTATTACAACTTAAAAGAACTTATTCAATACATGACTGAATTGCATAATAAAAGTTCTCCAAATGGAAAAAACACACATAAACATAATGTATTAATTGCATATATAACTGTCACTTATTAAACAAAAAACTACCTTACTCTAGACTTGCAAGTAAAACTACAAACTATTTAAATAAATCCAAAGCTTAGTGACCTTTCCTCCTACAATCCTCATTCTGGCACACAGAGAGGAGGCAGGGAAGGCAGTAGTGGATCTGGGAAGGTGTGCTCCTGGAGGAAATGATCACCATCAGAGAAATATGATCAGAATGAACACCTATCTACTGCTTCCCCATAAGCATAAGGTTTGGATCCTTTGAACTCCTTTCTTGTCCTTCCCCAATATACTCTAACCCAGAAAACTAAGTGTGTCGTGGAGAAAGGCAGGTAAGAATGTTAGTGTCCTCCTCCCGTCCTGTCCTTAGATATTTCCCAATAGAACTGACTCTATAGATCCTGGCCTTTTGAAATTCTCCATTTCAACCACACCACCTAATAATAATGTATGCCCACTGGAAATAAGATTTGAGACATCCAGTCTTGTACAAGGATACAGTCTCAAGGGGCTGCCTCATCAAATGAATCAGCATGTTTTTACTCACCTGTCTGAATACACATACTAAGCAGGAGATGAACTGAGAAAGAAGCCAGGAGAGCAACTATCAGCAGCAAAAAACTAAAATATAAAAGGGTACAGAAAAAGTTTTTTTATGGTATCTCATTACAGCAACAATTTTTTTTCACATTTAAATGCTCATAGGGACTGTCTTTGAGTAGTTGGATTATGATCATTAAAGAAAGTAAGAAGGTACTTTTCTGTATTTACCAAATTTTATTTAAATGAAAACGCACTGTTTTTAAACTCAAAAAAGAAATCAGAAAGAAACAATCTTTATTTAAAGTAAAAACAAATTTCCCCTCCCCCACTAAAAATGTAGTTAACACACTTCTAATAACACAATTTGAAAAATGTACAAACAACGTAGCAATTGGGGTCCTGGACCAACAATGTGAAAAAACAGCAACATGTATATCCCCTACTTATTCTCAGGATGATACTGACAGGATAAACTTCTACAAAGCTGTCCCCAGTGGAGTGCCCCAGTAGTTACAGAAATTCTATCTTTGTGCTCCACTTAATACTTGTTAATAAGTAGCAAAACTAAGAGGTCAAAGTATACTTGTTAGTAAACTAACAACAGAGACTTCACAAAATAACAGTTTGGTGTCACCAAATGGGACGTGCAATGTATGATATGATTCAGCACGCACACATTCAGTGGTATACATCTGCATGTAAGAACCTGGAGTATAAAAGGGATTTTTCAAAGGGAACCAAAACTTAAGTACTATGATTATGTCTTGCCTAAGGTGTCACATGAAGTTTGAAAATACATCCCATAATAAAAGCAAATTGAGTTACTTAAAAGTAGATTTGCTGATCAAGAAATTCAAAATTAAAAAAAAACACACACACCTAGGGAGCACGTGGGGGGGTGGGGGGGGTCCCTTCCCCTCTTCTTCCCCCAGGCACATTTGCTTTGCCTTTCTCTCTCCTAAGCTCCAAGGGCACTTCTTTTGCCTCTGTATCTTGTTTCCCGAGCCTACGCAGCCCAGCTAGCTCACTTCTACTACCCATTAACTTTTTCTAAATAAACTTTCTCTTATAATATGAAAAATTAATTAATCATAATAATAATAATAAAGAAACCTAAATGAGACTCTGTATGTTTTAAATTTCCTAGTAAAACAGATCTGCTTCTCCTGGCAAAAGAAACTTGTTCATCTATTAACCATGGTGCTAAATGCTGAAGTTAAGGTCCAGTTATAAAGGATTTCAGACATTAGTAGGGAAACTAACTTGCAAACAAACCATTATATTACATGACACTAACAAAATGAATATACAAAATAATATGGGAACACAGAAAAGCCAGGACTTTCTTTTATTTTGGGCAAACTGGCATACGAGCAGAGTCTTGAAAGATGAAAGGAACAGACAAAGGCCACGTCTGGCCTGGGAAAGGAAACAGACTGCCTAACAGTGGGAGGAAAGGAGGAGTCAGACAGAAATGAAAAGATCATGTGCTCACGTTCATAAAATTGCTATTTAGAAGTAATTAATCTGCATGGCTAATAAATTTTTATTCACTTTGGCCAACTTGACACAACAAACAAGCAACTTCTTAAGGTTATAAACTAGAGTGGATCAAGTCTCCATTTTTTTAAATTAGCCACACTTTTGGATAAAAAATGCAAATTATATAGCATCCCTCCAAGCTACAGACTAGCAACCACATAAAAGTATCAGGAAAATGCTAAAATCCCAGAAATAATTTAACTAAAAATCGTATAACACCAACTTCTGGAACCTATCTCGTTTTTCTTATTGTACTATCAAAATGGAAAAGAAAACAAAGTAATGGTAAATTAAGAAAAAAACTCACCTAAATCCAAGGATACCAGTATGAGCCATAACATAAGCTAAGCCAAGGACACCACTTCCCATGATGGCATTCATCACATTAAACACTGAGAAACCGTATGAAACACCAGGGGATCCCTGTCTGTGAAGTTCCTGAAAGTGCACAAATTTAATAGTGTTAAGTGTTTGCATGGTGAATTCAAGTTGCATCAAGAAATGACTGACGGGTTATGGAGAAAATCTGCAAACCACAGGCACTGTGGGACACACTAGCTGCTCAGTCAGCACTGGCTGGTTTCCTTTCCTTCCCTTCTCACCCCCCACTAGCAGCTCCAGGAATCCAGTTTCCACGGAAAACCATCTCCACCAGTGCGGAAGCCAGGCTTTAGGAGGAGCCGCGATGAGCCTGTGACTGTAAAAGACTAAGGTAGGAGAGGAAGGGAGTGGGGAGGGAGAGCAGGCAGATGGCCTCGGCTCATGTGATTCCTGAGGAACTCCTGAGTCATCTTGAGGCTGCTGAACACTAGTGTTGCTCCCAAATTACTAGTACTGAAACACTAATTTTTATTTATACACTGAATGAATTAAGCCCACCCAACTGGAAGGATGGTCAGGAATACCTTCCCATGAGGGTATAATCGGCAATTTATGATGCTCTGGAAAGGATATCTCTATAGTTCCCAAACTAGAATCTGTTACAGCTCAGGGACTTGAGTTAAAAAGCCGAATGCCCACTGGGCAGACTTCAGGGTCAGGACAGCGTTATGAACTTATTCCAGGGCCACCTCCACTCCTTCACCTAAGAATCTCTATATCAAGATGTTTACAGGCTCCCAATGACTAAGTCGAGAAAAGAAAAATCTTGTGACCCTGGCAAAAATCTCACAAGACTGGTGGAGGAAACAGGAAGCTGACAAAGATACCAGCGGACGGCCGCGAGCCGCAGAACCCCAGGGGCGGCTGCTC